CCCTAAATGATGACAGAACATTCATTTTTGGGTAAAAAAACCCTTTAATTTAATTCCACACACATTTTTTCCTCACATAGTTGGTGCAGAAGATGCAAAAAAGTCAAATAGACACATATTAAATCTGTTCATCCTATAAAGTGATCGTATGTGTTTGCAAGACTTGGATTAAACCGCTCTATTCATATGGACTTGTTTTATGACGCATTCATGACCTTTTTAGATTGTCAAAATTCTGGTTGCATGGACTATCAATAGGGACAAAAACCTCTAAAATATCCTCACTGAAACAAAGTCTCATGGGTTTGGATGAGTAAATGATGACAGAGCATTTCTTTTTGGGTAAACAAACCCTTTAAGTCCATTCCACACACATTTTTTTTTTCAGAGTTGGTGCAGAAGATGCAAAAAAAGCCCATAGATTGAGTCACGAGACAGCGTATATACATTCACTCTTAAACTACTGAAGAGCAGTATGATGAGTCGCTCACATCAAACGAAGCCAAATCATCCCGGATAGAGCGGCGATCGAACATTTCCGGGGCTGTAATTGCCGTGTGACCCGAGGACCGGATCCGTGTGTCAGTAAGTGTGCGTTAAGCGCCACTTCGCCAGCCGTTCCCCACCTGTCCTGCGCTACAGAAGCAGCATGTCACGGTGAAGAGGAACACTGTCGCTGCTCGCTGACACATCCTAAACCAGAGCGGCATCTTTCCCCTGCTCTAATGAGGATGGAACAGTGTCCGCGGCGCTGTCACGTAGCTCAGCACACGCCGATGAAGGCTCCTCTCCCGCTCGGCCTCCAGGGACCTCATTAGGCTTTTTTCCACCGTCTCCGTGCAGGAATCACATCGTCCTTAGGGAAAAATGTAAATAAACGCGTTTGTCACTTAGTACCCTCCCATTATGCTTTTTCCAGGAAGAAAAATTGCATTGCGAGGCTTAATTAGTAAGCGCTGCCATTATGCGTTCTTTATTATGTAAATGAAGCGGCCGAGCACTTGGAACTGTTGTCTCGCAAGCTTTGTGCCAGGTGTTTTCTGGCTGAATGCTGCCGGTGCTTTCTTCGTCCTTGCAGCAAAAGAAAAAGACAACTGTACTGTGAAATCGTAGGATGAGCTATAATTATTTGACAGATGATTTTCCCCTCCCCTGCGATTTGTGGCTTGAGTGACGCGGCTGCTTTGATTTTTCTTTGTTGCGGCCGAGGCCGATGGTTTTCCGAATGCCGCCGTCTTGATTCTCCGGGATCCTCACGTCTCCCCCTCTTCCCGAGAACTTGATTCCTGGAAATCCAGGAGTTGGAGCGGTGATGCCTGGAACGGGGTGGGCGCGTCTCCCGAGGTGTTAGCGCTTCATTAATATTGAAAATCTATAAGTCTTGGCCCTCAGCGGCAGGTGATGGCGGGTTTATGAGAGGACCTGTGGAATGCTAATCTTGCCCACCTGCTCCCGCTGTCCTCGCAAGCGAGGGATGATGATGAGGGAGATCTGGGAAGGATTATGGCTTGGAAATTGACAGTGACTGAGGAGGACGAGGCGGCCGTCCATCCTGGGCTTGAGTTGATTTATTCTCAAGGAACTTTTCTCTGTCTCTCTTTGTCTGGCCTGAATCTTGAGCTGTCAGCCAATCAGATTCTCTGTCACCATCACCTGTCCGTCTCGTCTTCATTTTTTAGTATTGAAGACCATATGTGAGAGTACAATATCATTTAGATTGTGAAGTTTCGCTTCGGTTGAGATACGAGTCCTTCAGTTTTTCCCATGATTCATGGATTTCAGCGAGACTTTGGCTGATATTTGGCCGTTATATTGTTCCTCCACCTGTCACATCCAAAATCTACTGACAAAACTATTTTCAGGTGAAATCAGCTTTATTTCTATAGTGCTTTATACAATACAGATTGCGTCAAAATAGCTTCACAGAGATAAACATGAAAATAACAGAATCAAATATGGAAACTCAACTGTTCAGATTCTCTAAAAGACAAAAGAGTGTCATTATTCAGATCAGTTTAGTTCAGACTTAATCAATCCCCCATATTTTTCCTCTTTTGGAAAGTCATACAAACACTATTGTGGATTTTCCTTTTGGTGCAAAAGTGATATTCGTTGTAGTTTCCGTTCACCACTATAGAAATTTACCAAACTATGACGACTTCAGAAATGTGTAGACCTACATATGTGCCATTGATCTCTCCTGACATCTCCGTTGGACTCGGACCATCTTCAAGGGCGATACCTTTAATCCAACAAACTAGATGCTCTTAAGTACTGTTTACTAAAGTTGTTCAGTTTTACTATTGCATCCACCTGAAAGTTCACATAACACAGTGTAATTAAGTAAACTCAACAAATTTGTAAAAATCAGTCATGTTTACTCGCTTTTCTTAAGTAGATTCAATGATTACTTTTTACAGTGTGATGATGTTCTGAGCGTTTCCCAGTATCCTCTCTGATGACGTTCCTTCTCTCTAACTGCACAATCATGTAGGCTAATGTGTTGAGAAGTGTCCTGTTTAGTGACACCAGCCCTCGTCAGTCTCTAAGTTTTGAAGCCGAGCGTCACGCTGTGATGTTGGGTTTTTTGGGAAGGTCGCGCCTCAGTTGTTGGCAGCGGCTCCACCCCTGATGTGTTGATGCTTCTCGCACCTCCGCCTGTCAATCTGCCGCTGCACCTGAACATGGGTAATAAACTGGCGCCGCAGCTCAATGACACGCGTGTCAGTTTGGGTCGTGTCTTCGGCACCTCATTGTTCCTTTGAGCGACTGCAGAAACATGCTTCACGCGTTCAGGAGAAATCATCAAATATTAACACGTCACGGGCGATTTTAATGTGAGACTCGCGGCTGTTTGCTCACGTTCGTCAATAAAGCAGCTCGCATGATGTTTCTCATCATCTTCTCATTATTAGGATATTACGTGCTCCTGCGTTATTACTTGTCGCAGTCCCTGTTTTCTGAGGACTATGCTTTCCTGCGCCGAGCTTCATTGCAAACTGATATTAGTGTAATGCGTGTCTGCCTGTCCGTCCTGCGTGGTAGGAAATCTTCATCTCGTCTCATTGAGTAATAGTACATACACACACACACACACACACACACACACACACATGAACACACACACACACACACACGCACGCACGCACGCA